GAATATAGTTGCCTCTCCCTACCTGTTACCTTGATCTAAATCCTACTTGCCTTTACTTCTCTGCTAAAACCGTTCTTTCTCAATAAACTGACCCTTTGTTACACATTTTAGTAGAATCACTTACTTGTAACATACAGCACTTATCACAGTTAGTCTGTATATTAATTAATATGATGATCGATGCCAGCCCCCCACGGTACTTACATGTAAAGGCACACACTATATCTTTTTTATTTGGGCTGTTTTTTCCCATCTCCTTCACCACTGTATCTCCGATACTTAGCAGAAGGCTGGACATATGGTAGGTGCTCAGCAAATATTAGTTGTAAATGAATTAACTAGTGAAAATGTAACCATTATAAATTATAATACAAACATTTCTTATTCATAAAGTTTTAGTTATGATTACTGTACTACCAATGGACTATGTATATAGGGAATAATTTGCCTAATTTTGCCACCATGTGGTGTCATAACTGGAAGGAGTGGTTGTCATTTTTAATGTTTGAAAATTACTTTAATTGCATGATCTTAAACTTTCAATCAGGGCAGTTTTTCTCTACCAACACATCCAATTAGCCAACTCATCCTCCCAAATATGTAAATAAGACATTAGTGTTTTTTTTTTTTTCAGGGAAATTATAAGAAGAAAATATTTCTCTAGTCCTAAAGGGTTTTCTTGAAACCCTGGATATCATTTACCCTTATTTAGGGGGAGAAATGTAAAGAAGACTTTGAATTAAGAAAGGATGCAGTCCACAAAACCATTCTTCAAACTTCTCCCTAGAAATTATTAGAAGAAAAAGTGTATGCACTTAATATAATAAGGAAGAAAGTATATTTTATAAGTGAAAACATTATGACATATCTGATGTAAATTGAGTTAGGTTTTCTCTAGTATATTCAGAGATATAATATATGCTTTTATTTTTCCATGGCACTTCTATCATTATGAACCTTAAAACCCAAGATTATTACTTCCTATTTTCCACTCCCAAATCTTTATTAAGGAAACAATTAAAATTTTTAAAATATCTGAATAATAATTAAAAATTCTGTTGGTAAAATGTAGTGGCAACACTAATCCATCTGAACATGTGAATACAATCTCAGTGCTGGTTTGATTTCTTGATCAGCGTGAAGAAGCCAGAAAAAAATGAAACTTTTAGTTCATCTTTCGGAGGGCTTAAGTTTATCTATGAATGACCTGTGGAGAAAAAGATTCTCCAAGGTCGTCATTTGACTGCTTTGAAACTTCTTCATGTACAATATTTTTTTTTATGATAATTTGCCCCAAACCCTCATTCTTACATGTAAGTCTCTTAAAAACATATTTTATTCTTGGTAAGATGGTGCATATCTAAATTCAAATATATGTCTAGGGCTCCTTTGTGGATACTGGGTTACCCTTTCGGTCAATTCTCAACACTCTGTAATCAAAACTATTTACTTTATTATAAAAAAAGTACTCAAAAATGATCTATCATTGTAAGTCTCTTTTAATCAGAATAAAACAGGACTTTCCAGTACAGCTGAAACACTCTTAGAATTGTCCTTTGAAATTTTGATCAATGAAATGCTAGGACTCGTCGAACAGGGGTTGACAATCAGACTGCTATTTCTAGAAGGAAGGTATTTATGGTACATGCATAATTCTAACATTGCAAAATCTGGATTTAAAAAAAACTTCCACCTTTCCTATTTATATTGCATCTTTAGCTAAAATAGAAAATTATCATCACAGCTATGTCAGAAATAAAATAAATACATTACATTCATATTCTTAAATAAAAGCATACTGATTATAAATCTCTATACAAACTATGGTGGTTATAATTTTAGGGACATATTTTGTCTCATAGTATTTATACTATTTAGAGCTGTAACCAGTGTCTCAACTATAATGTTATGACTGAAATTTTAGAATAAAAAGATAACAAAAATAGTGTGATGCATTCTATATGTATGAAATGCCATCTTTTGTTGTCTAAAGTTTTCTGTAAACTATTTCTATACAAAGCATAAATGAAACTATGTCTTTAATTTTATTACAAGTAATAAGCTACATTAATGATAAGTAACAGGATATTTGAAAAAAGGGAAAAGAATTTTTCATACTGAATATAGTAGTACTCCAAATTGCATTTACACAATTTTGAATGATTGCAAAACCATTAAAAAATAAGTGTTTTGTATCCATATGCTAGCACTTTATAAGCTTTTTAAAAAATAATATTTTTTCTCAACAGAGAGGACTGTCATTACCATCCCGCCTTCCAAAATGGATGTTACAGTTGGCGAGAGTATAGTCCTACCATGCCAGGTGTCCCATGACCCCTCCATTGAAGTTGTCTTTGTGTGGTCTTTCAATGGAGATGTCATAGACTTAAAAAAAGGAGTGGCTCATTTTGAAAGGATTGGAGGAGTAAGTTGCTGAAATTTTTAAGTGCTTAATAAATGAATCAAGTTTTTTTATGTGAATCACAGTCTTTCATAATTATTCCTCCATCTTTATTTGCATGGATAATCATTGCCTGTTTATGAAGCTGCATCTGTTTTTGTTTTGCTTTATTTTGTTTTATGTCTTTTGTAGATATGCTTGTCTTCTAGATGCAATTATAATAAAGGGGTAATAGAAAGGATCCCATATAAGAAACTACAGTGATACTAGTACATCTCCTAATTTCATAGCTGTCTTATACTTAATATTTATCCAGCTGTAAAAAAAAACCAAAATGGGGCCTGCTGTATGTAATTATATTTTTAACATTTTTCTCCCACTCTATCTGCAGGAATCTACTGGGGATTTGATGATAAGGAATATTCAGTTAAATCATTCAGGAAAATATTTATGCACAGTGCAAACAACTCTAGAAAGTTTATCCGCTGCAGCTGATATCATTGTTAGAGGTAAGCATAAATGGTCAAACAGTAATTACTGTTTATTCACAGCCAAAAATGTTGGGATCTAAATAGCAGATCTTTGAGGAACCAGATTATAATAAGGAAGTGAGATAAAATCACATAGATTTTTTAGTTTCTAAACTTCAAGACTCCAGGGTATGGATAGTACGAATATGGACACTGAATTGAATAGGTTTTGTCTACTCACAATGAATGGTCAGACTCAGCAAGCAATGTCAGTTCCTAAAACTTAGACATGCCTTCTATTTATAATAAATCATTCTTATCAGAACAGGACCAAGTCCACATGTTCCTGTAGTTCTCCGTATTAGTTACATTTACTTAAGTTACATTTTGAGAGAGAAATTAAAGAGAACATTCCTCAATTTTTTGGATTAGCTCTCTATAAGATGTTATTCAACCATCTCATGATGGCATTTTTTAATCTCCAAAGGAAGCATTTCTAAGTCTTACCATGTAAGCCAAATTAATAGGACTTTATAATTATGTGCTACAAATACATGATGAATATTTCATTTTCTAAGCACAACAGGTAAAAATAAACCATTCTCATCACAAATCAATTAATCTAATAATCTCCAATATAGTCGTCATAAAACATCTTTTTCAAGGTCCACCAGGTCCCCCAGAGGATGTGAGAGTGGAACACATTTCCAATACTACTTCCCAAATAAGCTGGAGACCAGGCCCAGATAATAACAGTCCAATTCAAATATTTACCATTCAGACTCGGACACCATTTTCTGTGGGTTGGCAGGCTGTTGCTACAGGTATGCAAGACAAGTGCTTTTATATAATTTTCTAATAATAATATAATTTTTTATTTAATAACTTTAAATAAATGTAATTAAATAATAATATAATTTTGTACAATCATTTGCTTTTGACTAGTGCCAATATAGGTGCCAAGAGTATCTCATTATTTTTAGTTCCAGAAATTCTCAATGGTAAGACGTACAACGCAACAGTGGTTGGTTTGAGTCCTTGGGTAGAATATGAATTTCGTGTTGTTGCCGGGAACAGCATTGGGATTGGAGAACCAAGCAAACCATCTGAATTGTTAAGAACTAAAGCATCAGGTGAGGAATTAATATCTTCTAAAAACGTGGAAGATCCTTTATAGTAAAGTTCTTAAAGGAAACAAGAAGTATTTTTATGGGTGTTGTAGCATTTTGGGCTCAAAATCAGAGGCAGTGAACCAGTAGTTCTGCTTTTCACATTTTTGTGTGCACAAGGCAACATGTATTTCTCCTGAACAGTAGGTTCCATAAGAGATGATTACCTTTGAGTGAGCATGTCAAAATAAGAGTTTTTCAGAGGCTGTCTTTGCATCTCATTTATTTTCTATACAAAATCCAATAGAGAATCTTTAGATTTGTAGATGCAAATGAGTTACTGTTTGTTTCATTTGTTTCATTAAAATGTTGTAGCCAAGAATTAATTAAAACTCTGTTGGTGCAGTCAGCCATTCATTTTCATCTATTTTTCAACTCTGACCCAGCTGCAGCTTCATTGAACAGTAGTATAAATTCTAACCCATGCCAATGACGTAAATCCTAAACTCATTTAAGAGAAGCACTAAATGAGCATCAATTGGTTCACTGAACAGCAGAACACAAGTGGAGCTTGGCTCAGAAATCAAGCCTTCTTAAGCTCTTTTCAGGGGAGCCTCCTTGTTCCACTCAAACTTTCACACCCAGGGTCATGTTTGATCTGCTCGCTGTACTCACCTTCACAAAGTTCACATTCTTATTCAGTCACATAAATGAAGGATCACTTCGTTGTTGCTGGTTTGGTTTAACAAACACAGACTATCTCAATAAAGTATGCACAACTGTCACGATGTCAATAAATCAATTTTTGAACTAGATATAATGCTATATTTTTATCATAGGGTTGGGGCCAAAAACAAACATATTTGACAGAGATATCAAATTAATTCATGCTAGAAGTTCTGCACTGAGAAGAAATTCCTTCCTTTACAGAGGAAGAAGATAAAAACCAAGATGGTAGCTATTTGTTTCTGACAGAGGCAGAATTTGAACCCAGACCTCCTGGCTTCTACACTCAGCATCTCCAGAACAGTGGGTCTTAGTCTAGATGACTAACCAAAGAAAGTGTGTAAATATAGAAATTCCCAGGCCCTACCCTAGACCCACTAGATCAGAATCTCCAGGTGTGGCCAATAACTCTGGATATTAGCTCAAGTTGCAGGTTTTTTACAGCTGATTTATATTTCAGTAGATTTGGGCATGATTAAACCAAACTCTGAGGTTTTTACAGTAAAATTTGTGTGTCACTTTCTTCTAACCATTAACACTCTCTTGTTTCAGTAGCATAATGAGACTTGGTAGTATTCATACTGATTTCTCCAAGACTCCAAACTACAGAAGTCTCTCTGTCTCTCTCACTGAAGTCCCTCTCCAGCTCTCTCTCTCCCTTTCTCTCTCTCTCTCTCTCTCCACCTTTCTCTCTCTCTCCGTATCATCAAAGACTAACTTCTCAATATGGCTCTAGGTTAAAGTACAGTTAATTTGATAACTGAATAACAAAGGAAACAGTTTTGCAGAATATTGGAAACTTTGTAGAGAGTAAATCAAACTATAAATTAAAACATTTTCCCTTACATAGCTAAACTATGCAAAGGTCCTGAAATAATGTCGCTGTTTGCTGTCAAATATGATAAACCCATAAGCTATGTAGAATCTATTCTGATTCATGTTGCTTTTGACAAAAGGCATTAGAAGACTTGGAAACTAGGGTTTAGGTTCCAGAGATTTTTTTTTTTTTTTAATTATGAAGCTTAAAGCAGACAAACTTAAGGGTAAATTTGAGTATGAAAATATATATCTGACTGAACAATCAGATTATTATATCACTGTTGTTTATAAAGTTAAATATCTGTATGAAATGGGAATAAATAAAATAAGTAATCTAGACTTATTCAGATGGTCTCTATGGTGGGAAAATATTGGGGCTGAGCAGTTAAACCTTACGTATTTCAGTCCCTGCCTATAGTCCTCAGCCATACCCAGGTCTCCCACGCCCATCTCCGAATACTGTTCAAAAGTGGTCCAATATAGACAATTTCATATACTTCAACATTTTAAAAGTATAGCCTGAAGATTTATCCATTATCACAGATTTAGGATACTTTTACCATTATGTCAAGAAAAATAATGCTTTTTAACATTTCCCCATGTATAAAGTAAATCCTCATTCTGATTATATACTATAATACCCCCCACACAGTCACAACTGTTATCAGCTTTACAATTTACCTTGAATATATTATTCAGTTTACTAGTCTTCACAAGGGTATAGTTGAAGGGCATATCTTTTTTTCTAATTTATCAAATTTATTGGTTTCTGAATATTTCTCCACAGAACTTTAAATCCAAGAGATAGACAGAGGGACCTTCCCTCCCCACAATCACATTCTTGACAGGGAAAAATCTAACTTTGTAAGTGAAAAGTTAAAAAGAAAAGTCCCTCTTGTTCTCTCCTAAGAGATTTGACATTCAAATGTGTTTTTAAATGAGAATTTATTTATTTACGTATTTTTAAGAATTTAATTTTAAACGTTAAAAATATCCTGATGACTAATAAAGAGAAAAACTATTTTAGTTTGTTTATCGAAAAAAAATAATGAATGCATTTACTGCCTCAGTAACTTGTTTACAGCACAACTGTATATAATTAAGCACTAAATCAGCAGTGTCACTGTTGCCATCTGAATGGAACATCATTTTGCCAATTAGTAGATGATGCATAATAATGTCAAATACCCGATGTTACTCAATTTTTAATTAATTTGGAGCCAGGGTGCTCATGTATCAAACACAACTGTGTCCCCTCTCTTAGAAATTTGGATATGTGTAAACATAATCTATGTTCATTAAAAATGCAACTCTCTCACAATGTGCCTGCATGAGATTTTGAAAGGTGAAATCCAAAAACGAATTTCTTCTCTATGAAGATGTACCTTAATAATTGCCATCTCACATTTCTCTTGGTTGCTTTTAGTCCCCGTCATGGCACCAGTAAACATCAACGGAGGGGGAGGAAGTCGGTCTGAGCTCATCATTACGTGGGAGGTAATTTTCTGTCCAACTGAGTTATTTTGAAGGAAAAAGATTTAGATGGCCAGGAAGAATACTGAAAAACAACAACAACAAAAATTTATTTGATCATTATTGAGAATATATAAAAATATATGGCATAAAATCACAACATCCTGATGATGAATTATTTAGAAGGAGGTATTAGAAACTTTTCTTGTTTCTACTAAATTGAGAGAGTATAACAAACCCAGCACAATTTTCTCCCAAATATATGAAAAACAACTTCAATACCTGTTGAGTGTGAGCTAGTAGCATTTTCATGTTTACTTGATGAGTCAGGCATTGTTTTGTTTATTACCTGCGGAAATGCTGTACTGTGAATGAGGTGGACTCAACAGAGTGCAGGCAAAAGACAGTTGTCCTGAGCTTGTTCCTCCCTGCATCTACAGGAAGGTTTAGGCCCATGGAACAGCTTTTCTGATCATTATTCTCAAATATTAACACAGAGATTCCTTTTTGTACTTTTTAAACATTTAAGTCTGGCTTCCTGTCATAAACTTTAAACTTTCAACCAACATAACATTTCTCATTTCCAGTAGCTTGGGCCTGCCCCAGCCTAGAAATTCTATAGTGTGAAAGAAAATGTATCATCAGTTCTTCACATTTTCTCCATTTTTCTCTTTTTTCTTCCTCCCCACTCACTGTTACGCTTCTCCCGAGTTGTAGAGGGTTGGGTTTCGGAGGAGAGGAAAGAGGCAGAAAAGGTCCTGATTGCTGGTACATTTGTAATTTGGCTTTGGTATACTCCAGGTATGGCAAATGGCCTGATGCTGGTATTTCATAGGGTAGTGTTTTTGTTTTGGTTTGGGGAGGTGTGGGGGAGGGGTCTCTGGGAGATCCCCTGCTGGGACCTCCAGTTGCAATTCCTTGGTACAGGTTCAACTGGCTGCTGAAGTCTCCTCAGTTCCTGGATTCTGATGGGCCATGTGCAGACTCTTCCCATGAAGATTCTCTCCTCTAGGTGGTCTTTGTGGATAATGTCCCTGTCAAGGCTGGTCATGGATGACTCCTTTGCATGGGTTCCACACTTGCCGTCAGCAAATCCACACCTTTGCTTCTGTTTATGGAAGGGCAGTGCATGCCTGTTAGTGTTTCTCTTCACTCTGCCACCATAGGCTGTGCAGATCTTTCTCCACGCTAGACTTCTCAGGTGTTTGTTAAAAGAACATGCATTCGCCAAATTCCAGAATATACATACCACGTAGTCCTTTCTGAAGTCTTCTTTACACTGCTACATAGCAGAGGAAGAAGGCTGTTCACTTCCCTTTGCAGAGGGGTAGGAATGCACAGCTTTTTCTTCAGCTCCCTCAAACTATTTTTGTATTTATCTCTCCCTAAACAAACAAAGATTCTCTTCATATACATTTGACGTGGGGGAGAAGCTAAGTTTTTCTAAGCAGCCCTTTACATAAATGGTTCGAGGTCTCTCTTTAGAATGAATGCATTTCACACCTTTGTTATCAGTTTTGGGCCTCAACTGAAATGGATAAAAGAGCCCTGTTTCATTGTGTGTGTGTGAGGGGGGGGTGTGCGTGCACGTGCACACGCACAGTGTTTTTTGGTTTTGTTTTTAAAGACTTTTTTAAAACAACTGTTTTAATTAAGGTCACAGCAAAATCGAGAGAAAGATACACAGATATTCCATATGTCACCTGACCCCACACATGCACAGCCTCCCCCATTACCATCATTCTACACCAAAGTGTTGCCTCTGCTATAACTGATGAACCTGCATTGACCCATCACTATTTCCTGGAGTCCATAGTTTTCATAGAGTCTGCTCTTGGTGTTGTACATTCCATAGGTTGGGACAAATGTATAATGACATGAGTCCACCATTATAATATCATGCAGAGTAGTTTCACTGCCCTAAAAATCCTCTGTGCTCTGCTTATTTATCTGTCCCTCCCCACTAACTCCTGGCAATCACTGATCTTTTCACTTTCTATAGTTTTGCCTTTTCTAGGATGTGATATAGTTGGAATAATATATTATGTAGACTTTTCAGATTGGCTTCTTTCACTTAGTAACATGCATTCAAGTTTCCTCCACGTCTTTTCATGGCTTGATTGCTTCCTTTTTTAAATAATATTAGATTGTCTTGATGTACCACAGTTTATCCATTTGACTATTGAAGGGTATCTTGGTTGCTTTCCAGTTCTGGCAATTATGAATAAAGCTGCCATAAACATCTGTGTGCAGGTTGCTGTGTGGACCTAAGTTTTCAATTCATTTGGGTAAATACTGAGGAGTGTGATTGTTGGATCATATGGCAAGAGTACATTTAATTTTGTAAGAAACCACCAAACTGTCTTCCAAAGTGGCTGTACCATTTTGCATTCTCATCAGCAATTGATAAGAGTTCTTGTTGTTCCATATCCTCGTCACCATTTGGTGTGACCAGTGTTCTGAATTTTGGCCATTCTAGTAGGTGTGTGGTGGTATTGTATATATGTTTTTAAATCTTTGGTGGTAACTTTCATACTGTGAAAACACCTACTTACTTGGACATGTTAATAATACACCTAACAACTTGATGGCTGTGGATTCTTTAATTAATATCAACACATCTCATTCATTGAAGAGTATTTCTCAGGTGGGACAGGGAGCAGGGGTGACTCCTTCCTCAGGGGCCATTTAACAGTGTCTCTGGGCATGTTTTATTGTTATAACTGAGATGAGATGGGGAAGGCAGCTGGGTAGAGGCCAGGGACAGTGCTAACCATCCCACAATGCACAGGAGAGACTCCACAACAAGGAATTAACTGGCCCTAAATGTTAGTAATAACATAGTTAGGAAACCCTGTTGTAGAATCATAGTAATTCACTGCATCTGGCTTACTCCTTGCATAATTCCATCAGAGAGAGAGAGAGAGAAGGAGAGAGAAAGTGAAAGGTGAGGGTATTATTAAACCCTCTTTATATGAGAGGAAACTGGGACACAGAGATGTTTTTTACTTAAGGTTGTAAATGACAGAGTCAGAAACCAGGTGCAGCTTCTCTTAATGTCATCCTCTTTGCTGGACGTCTTGTTTCATGTGGACATTATGGGACTAGCACAGTGCCTGGACTGTGGTCTGCCTTCATATGTCCTTGCTGGATGAAGGGCTGTGTCCTGAGAGTGCTGGAACTCTCAGAGGCCTGAGAGAGATGGAAGCCACGTCTGTCGAGCATTTACAGGGTTCTGGGGGCTGCACCAAGACTTTCATGTCATTCAGTCCTCACAACAATTCTAGGAGGTAAGTAACACCACTTCCAGATAAGAAAACTGAGGCTTAGAAATAGGCTATCACCAGGCAGAGAAGCATTTGAAAACAGGGCTCTCACTTCAGGTTCTCTTACTTTGTCTTAAATTCAAATTTCACTTGTCCATGCAATCGGAATACTCAGGGTGGGCAAGAGTCCTTGCATATCTGCCTTAAGAAGTAAGTTAATCATACTATTCCTGCTCCTCCAGACACCACAAAACCCTTGACTGTCAAATGATTCTACAAGAGAAGTGCTTTTGTTTGATGGTGAGAAGGTTATTTAGGTTTCAATATTTTTCAGAGACCGTATAAGCATTTATTTTCCTTATAGTGCACAGGGAATTTTGCCTGATTTCATAACTTATATTTTTCTCTTTCATGGTCAGAAATTCCTAAAGTTTAGTATACAATTACTTTTGCATAGTCTATACATATGGGGGAAAATCCTATGTATATCATCCTTTATTTCCCACATGAATCAAGCATTTCATTTAATCCTAACAAGGAAGCACCTTAAATATTAATTTAAAAATTCAGGCCTATATCGAGTATGAAAATTACCACCAAAGATTTTAAAACATGTATACAATACCGCTACACACCTACTAGATTGGCCAAAATTCAGAACACTGATCACACCAAATGGTACCTGAATAGTACCCTGATTGTTTCCAGAACATTATTTGAAGCACCCATTTCCCCAATTAACATTTAAAGTTTGGTGATCCACTGCAGGAAGTTGAATTAAGACTTCACTCATTATCACTCTGGATTTCTTGATACCTTGTGTTTTTTATCACCCATTGGACCAGTGAGTTCAGCTTCTTAGAAACATTTGAACAATCATTCAGAAAAGTTTGCCCAATAACCTGACACCCCCCAGGTTTTACTGTGAGGAATAGCACTTCTGAAAGTCAGAATCTGATACCAATTAAATGGTGGCAGCTTTGCCAATAGACAAGAACAAGCTCATCTACGGCTAGGAAGGATTATACATAATCTTGAATAGAGATGATCAAAAAAAAAAACCCCAGAACCAAAACTGTCTTTTCATGATTTATGCTGTTCTCACTCTCTTTTCATTATTTATACTGTTCTTTTTCTTTAAAGCAACAAAAACGATAGCCCAAGGGCCAAATCTGGCCTGTTCTCTGTTTTTGTAAATAAACCCACCCACTGCTATACCCATTCTTTCTTGTGCTGTGTATTGCTGCTTTCATACTTTTGCAAGAGACCAAGATGCTTAAAGTACTTATTATCTAGTCCTCCGCAGTGAAAGTTTGCTGATCTCTATTTTTAAAAAAATTAAATTAAAGTCATTTCCTCTGTGGGTTTCTTTCTTCAGATATGCAGATACTTCCGTAAACTAAATTAATGAACGCAGTTTTCCATTTATCGTTGGTATTTGTCATTACATACACGCAGATACGGAGCCAAATTCTTCTGTTGTCCAAAGTTCTTTAAGGAATAAGTTTTGTATGTTTAGGAGAAGATGCATCATTAGTTTGAGCCACCACAATGCATGTAGCCACTCCTTCAGTTTAAGGAACTGTACTGAGTAGCTACTCTGTTCCAAGCAGTCAAGAGTACAAAAATAAATATCTGAATGCTCAGGGCTCTAGATGACAGGATGGTCTTAACCCAGCCCGGAAGAAGGTCAGGAGGGAGAACATGATAGCATATCTGAACTATGTTTTGCAAAATAACTGGGCTGTAAAGAGACCATTCCACACCAAAATCTCTATGATTGTGGATGAAATAGTACCCTATGGACTTCCAAAACCAATGTGGGACCCAGATAACATTCTAAATTCCTCCAGATTCCACCAGTATGGTTCATGAACGACAGCTTTACTAGTTATCCCAGACTGCTGTTCATTTAAGGACACTGTGGTATAATCTCCCTGAACTAAATATCCTCTCTGTGCTTTCTCCAGTGCTACAGTAATGTGCATTTTGTGTTTATTTGTTTTTGTTTGCTTTGTTTTCATAACCCAGACGTGATATCAAACGATTGGAATGTAGCAACCACTAATTTCTTTTTAAGGGCAACTTTATTTATTATTTTATCATAATGTATACTCCCCAATACTTCTAAGTTAATGTGCTTGTGATGAATGTCTCACATAAAATACAGCTATAAAATCAGGTATACATGATAAAGTACTATAGAGTGAGAAATAAATACAGTATACTCCCCAATACTTCTAAGTTAATGTGCTTGTGATGAATGTCTCACATAAAATACAGCGATAAAATCAGGTATACATGATAAAGTACTATAGAGTGAGAAATAAATACCTATACTGGGAGTTGGCATACTTTTTATGTAAAGGGCCAAAAAGTAAAAATATTCACCCTTATAGGCCACATGGTCTCTTTTACAATTTCTCATTTTGCCATTGTAGCTCAAAAGCAGCCACATATCACATATGAACAAACAGGTGTGGCTGTGTTCCCAAAAAATCTTTTTTTTGTAAACCATGCTGCATGCCAGATTTGGCTAGAACGCTCTAGTTTGCTGACCCTTGTTCCATCCTAAAGATTTAGTTCCTTCAGACGCTGTCATTGAGGATTATATTAGTCTTTATCAATTTTAATAGATTTCACTCCCAATAAAATTCCTGAATTTTTTTATTCTATTGAATACTTTCTCCGTTTAAAAGAGAAATTCTCTTTTGGTCATTTTAAACAGCTATTTGTCACTCCATCATTCAACTCTCTGTCCACATGAGAAGAAAAAAATAAGGAATCTAAGGGTGTTTTTCTTTTTCTAAACTGAACACGTTGGACTCAGATCTTTCTTGGAGAAACACTATGGGAAACACTAATTATACTTGACCAACAAAAACAAAAACAGAAGTCCTCTGCTTCCTTGGATGAACTAAACATCTTATTTAAATGTATGATCAAAGAAGCATGAAAAGCAGATCAAATGCTCCAGCAAGCAGCTTAAACTCTCATAAATCTCTCCCATACCATTCAAAATCAACTGTTTCAATTTTGATCTCCCTGTAAAAAAGAGGAGAAGCGTTAACACAAGGATGCATTTTCTTTCCACAGATTTCAGGAGCAGTATTTTTCTTCTTCTTTTCACTTTCCGTATTTGTTAGGCTGTTCCATGTGGCAAGAAATAGAGACCAGCTCAGGTCATCTCAGTTAATGGGGATTTATTTTAAAGCTGCGTGGGACGTAATGAGGACAGGGCAAAGTCTCAGCGACCAAGCAGGCAGGTCAAATGAAGAGCCGGAACATCGTTCATCACTGTTCTGAGCTCGGTGGCGCTACTTGACTGCCAGCCACCTGGTAATCCAGCCCCACCCCAAAAAGCCCCTCATGCTTGTGCCTCACTTCTTCCCACTTCCTTTACTTCCAATTTCCTATCGGGCTGCCGGCTAAATTCTATCTCCTCTCTCTCATTTACAGCTTCTGTTTTCTTTCAACTTCTACTCCCTGAGGGTCCCTACCATTGCATGTTTTCTATTTATTGCCTGCACTGTGTGTACCATGGCCCATCCCTCATGTTTCCTATGCAGACTCTGTGGGAGGAATTGATTAGGTCTGTTAGTTACTATAGAGGGGAGAGATTCTACATGAGAACCCATCCTGGATCCTGAGCAAGATGGCACCTTTGGGTCCAGTGCTCATAACTGGGTATTCAGATGTGGTCCAAGTGACAGAATAATGTAACACAGTTAAGTGAACTACTGTGGGTAAGGAGAACCCCAAAAATAGAGTTGTGGACCTGAGGGACTCATAACATTATATCCTGTCAGGTGTGCCTTTATTAGTCTATCAAAATATTGAGAAAACAAAAGAAAAGAAAAGCATTTTCCTTTGGAAAAACCAGATAAACTCCATTGATTTTTAGATAGAAGTTTCTTGTAATCTGGTAGAATGTTTGTCTGAATGCAAGCACTAGTTTATTTTCATTTGCTTAGCTTATGTGATTATTTATAATTTTTAATATCTGCAGAGTTCTAAGGGAACATGTATCTATTCCTATTTTGTAATTTTATTAATTTTAGGTTTGAAATATATTTTATAGAAGTTTATCTCCACGAGAGTTAGCAATGTATTTTTTTATGTCGGGGAATATGCACATGGATGTTACTATTAATGACGATGTATGTTTAAAAAATCCTGGGAGGTGCTTTATTTTATGCTTTTTTGGAGAAATACTTTATGTCTTAAAGCATATGTTATTACAGGATAATTATATAAACCACATTTTATAAGAAATTGTTAAAGTGTTGTGAAAAGAATTCATACCTAACCTTGAAATAGTTAATTTTGTGCTGAGTTTTAAATTCGTATCAAAATTACATTTTAGCTTAAATCATAAAATCTTGCAATCTTCTAAACCATTTATTTTTACAATTTATGAATGATCAAAGAAGGCTATAACTATGGAAAGCCTTTTTTATATTTCTGTTTGAAAGCTTTAACTATTTATCTGAGTACCTTTAATTAGGATCATTTTCCTAATTGGCATTACAAGTAAAATTATTTTTTTAATACTTTATTAAGCAGGGTAAATACCTATGTTTGTGCAGTAGAAATGCCAAATAATCAATGAACATTATAATAGCTGAATAAAATAGGTTTGCAAATACTTAGTGACTGATCACATTCTGCCCAAGCCAATTCCAGAAGAACTACAGAATGGAGAAGGATTTGGATATATCATAATGTTCCGACCAGTTGGCTCTACAACCTGGACCAAGGAAAGAGTGGAGTCTGTGGAATCATCAAGGTTTGTTTACAGAAATGAAAGCATCATGACTCTCTCTCCCTTTGAAGTCAAAGTGGGTGTATATAATGATAAAGGCGAAGGACCCCTAAGTACTGTGTCCATTGTCTACTCAGGGGAAGATGGTAAGTTATCTGTGGCTCTGGGATGGTTTTCCTTGAGACTGCACATTTTGCATTCCATTTTCCATGAACCACTCTGCTCTGTCTTTCTCTGAATGGTAGAACCTCAACTGGCTCCAAGGGGAACTTCTGTCCAGAGTTTTTCTGCTTCTGAAATGGAGGTTTCATGGAATGCTATTGCCTGGAACAGAAACACTGGAAGAGTGTTGGGCTATGAGGTAATCCACATTAACACCACTTTCCCTTACAAACATGCCAGCTAACTGCACAATAGCTCCTGTCCAACAGTCCTATACTACTAACCTAGTTCTCAGCGTATAATCATATTTATCTAAAGCTAAATAAGAAAGTTAGGGGATGGGGCTCTTTCTGGGTGATCTTAAACAAACAAATTAACAAATGGTCTTCATTTAAAAAGGCATACAGTTTCAATTAAGTAAGATGAGAAAGTCCTAGAGATCTGCTGAACAACGTTGCAGCTATAGTCAACAATAATGCATTGTACACTTAAAATTTAAGAGGATGGATTACATATTGAGTGTTCTTACCACAATAAAATTTTTAAAAAGTAATCAGGTGATTATCTTATTAAATTACTTCAAATTGCAGTCATTTTGTCTCTTGGGTAGAAATAAAGCCTAATCCTCAATGTTCTAAAACCATAGAATTTCACTGGGAAACCTGCTCAGTGAATTGGACTATGACTTGAAAACATGTAATCATCTTGGAAAAGACAGTTAAATGATAAGGAAAAAAAAAACCCTAGATTCTCCTAAATTTGTTCTTTTAAATCTGTATAGAATAAGGCAAGTCTCATTTGTAGGCCTTCATTCTCACAGTTAAGGGATGAGAACCTTTCGAGTGTAAGTTAATTGCTCATTGTTCCTCAACTTGCAAATCCAGTGGCTCACAAAACGGATAACATGGTTCATTTTATTTTGTAGTTAAAATAAATGTATAAATCCAAACATTTTTAAGTTTTGCTTGTACTTTTTTTTCCCTCTTCACATTAATACTCTGGTACAAACAGAAATTTCTACTCATATGACAGGTGTCTTTGCCCTGTCTGCTTCACATGTATTACCTCTTATCTGAACCCTGTTCATCTCTCAAAGCTCATTGCTACTCTCCTCTTCTCTCCAGACTCTTCTCTGATCAATCCCTGATGTTGTCTTTCTTTAAAGTTTTACAGCATTTTTTTTTCTACATCACTTCTTTGGAATGCATCGTATGCATTCTTTTCACATATATATTCTAAGTTCTTGCTTATTCTTTGTTTTTAATGATCAGGTCTTATACTGGACAGATGACTCCAAAGAATCCATGATTGGTAAAATTAGAGTCAGCGGAAATGTCACAACCAAAAACATCACAGGGCTGAAAGCAAATACCATCTATTTTGCTTCTGTGAGAGCTTACAACACTGCTGGGACAGGACCCTCAAGCCCCCCAGTCAATGTCACCACTAAAAAGTCTCGTAAGTACATACAACACTCCAGGGAATGAGATTCATCTGTGAATAGAAACATTTTTTTGCTCAATGTCCATTTCATTCCTCCCACTTCATCATTTTACTGCTTGTTTTTTTGGTTTGTTGGGTTGTTCCTTATATTTGGTTAATTGTTGTAACCTTCTGGAAACAACCAAAAGTGGAATTCCAAAAGAGGAAGCACTCTGAGTACATAAACGAAAGACAAAAGAGTGTAATGTTTACAAATACTGACTTTCATGTTGTCCCCCAAAATGGAGTTAAAAAAATTAACTACCCCTCCTTGGAACTTTAAGGGTTATTTAATTTTTCAGAGTCTCAGTAGCCTCATCTATAAAATGAGGAAAAAGTAATACCTATGTCCTCATATGATTTTGTTCATGACTGAAAGGGATAATTAGTAACAAGTGCCCAGCACATACTTTATTAAATGCTAAGTAAATATTCTTTTGTTTTTGTTTGGTTTTGTTTATTGAATCCTAGAGTGTACCTTAATGTGATCCTAGCACTATCAGATACCTAGATCTTTTTTTTTCTAGGATGTTTTATCGCTATAGTTTACTTGAAAGCACCTGAAATCTAAGAATAACCTCTTCTACTTCTTATCTCCTTTGATAATCAGCCAGGTGTCTTTAATAGTCAGGACCTACTAAATAAAAGATGAATGGCTGATTGTTGCTGCCTTTGTCCCCTGGCTGAGTCTGGGTTACACAGATATCCCATAATATGAGACACAATAATAAATTGGGAAAGGTCTGATCAGACATGACTTAGTAGTATCTACAACATGTACTTTTGTGATTGCATAATATTTATATATTTCTTTTACAGTATATTGTAGATGAAGATAAATTATTTGTACAAAAAGGCTTTTTAAAACACATTCGTTGGTTTCTGAATCCTGATGAACAAAAAATAATAAATACAGTTGCTGAATTTTGAGAAAGACTAAATTTATTGCCACCAACAAAAAAGAAAAATCTAGCTTACTTATAAGTGCTGTATTCTTACTACTTCTCTGTATTCGAAAAAAAATTTTGGTTGAGAAGGGTTCAAAAATCAAGTGACATTATTTTTCATGTTCAAAAAAACTTAGAAATCATCGAAGTTAATAAGCTTTTGGATTAAATAGATTGTCCAGTTATTTTCACATCATCAGACCAGCTGTCAGAGACCCATGTCCTAATTCTGGGTACATCACTGACTCATGACCTGAAACAAGGCAAGACATTCCATTTCTCTGCTTTAATTTTCTTATCTGTTAAATGGGAATTCTCTCTGTCCTCAATACCTTCCTGAATTATCTATGTTGCAAAAACATAGTTGCTGATTACGGGAGCATCTTGGAAAATACAAAGTGCTGTGGAACTGATAAGAAGAAAGCAAGCAAACAAAGAAAAAGCCTGTAGGATCAGTCCATTTCAAGGGGAGAGTTTGTACCGAAAATTCCTGAACCAGCTCTCCTCTGATTCACCCAGCTTGAGACAGGCTGGGCTGTGAGTGAGTCTCAAGAACGGATTAGCTAAAGATGTAGTTCTATTCCTTTTCCTGTTTTACTCAACGTTGACTAAATCGATGAAGTCGTTGCCAGGTACCTGTCTGAATGATTTGCTTTCATGGTCCTTCTGGAGCAGTCTAGCCTCTTTCAGCTAATCTGCAAATCTGGATGGGAATCTCTGATCAATCAGTGGTTTTGAGACTGCCCAGACATTTACTTCTAGCTGAGAGATGCCAAATTCACAAAAACTCTTGTGTGTAATTCAGTTTCTATCTCAAGCAGAACCAAGGAGGATTAGAAATGTCTAAGAACAGTATTTTTTTAAAAAAACAGATTTGTATTGTGACATTTCAGTGCAGTTTTTGAGCCAAGATTCAGGTCAACTTTTATTATTCATAATCCCATTGACCAGTTTAAGGTGAATTGAGACCTGAACTAGTTATTTACTTTGGAAAGATATATGTATATATATATGACATATATAAAAAATACATATGATATATATAAAACCTCAATAAGAATTTTTTTTCTGTGACCTGAATTTGTTAGATTGTCCAGGCAACCTAAATTAAACATGTGTGTGTTTGTGCTAACCTGATCTATGTGTTTAAGCAGAAAACTCCTTGTTTTTGACATCATTTTTGTTCATTTGGCCCAGTTGGTTCTACAAATGGGCTTGACTAAAATTTGGATTAAATGCCAAGAACGTTGTTGGTGGTTTGTCAGATAGTTAACACATGATTAGCTCATCACAGAGCTAACACGTGACTAGCTCATCACAGAGTAAGGGTTGTAACTTTTGAAAACTGTTTAATTAACAAGGAGTAATTTCATCCAAGATACAATGCTGGAATACATCTGCAAAGGGAAAAGTGAAATGAGAGTCAAAAAAATTTAAAGTGAAGGTTAGTGTTTCTTTAAGCACCCATCTTCTCTCTTGACTAAATCAGACAAGCACAAAACCCTTGTAATTCCTAGTTTCTCTTCTGGAATTCCAGTTTCAATATTTCTTAAATTTGGCCTTCACCATCCTACATGCTTCAGTGTCATTAACAACATAGATGACAAGCATTTGAGAATAAGAAGGTTATACAAGTTCCCATTTCATTGTATGTGAGTACCAATTAAACCTCTAATTTCATTCTTTTGACATTCTATATCACAGACATTGTCAAAATAGAATAATAGCTGTTTTAGTTTCCCACTGCTGGTCTAAGAATTGCCACAAACAGTGTTTTAAAACAATACACATTTGTCAGCATATATTTCTAGAGGTCAGAAGTCAGAAATGGGTTTCACTGGGTGGAAGTCAAGGTGTTGGTAAGGGCACCACTACCTGTAGAGGCAACAGAGGAGAATCTGTTTCCTTGCATTTTCTGCCTTCTAGGAGCACCTATATCCCTTGGCTCATGGCCCCTTCCATCTTCAATGCCAGCAGCATGGGGGATCATTGAATCTCTTTCCAACTCTCACTCTCACGATTGTATCATCACCTCTAACTCTGTTTCTTTTCTTCCTTTTACCTAATAATCCATGACTATTTCCCCATCTCAACATCCTTAATGTAATCATATCTGCAGACTCCCCTTTTTCATATGAAGATACACATCTGCAGGTTCTGAGGATTATGACATGGACATGTTGGGGGGGCATTATTTTGCCTACCCCATTTATAAAATATTGAGTACTTCTATGTCCCCAGCCCTGTGTTAATTTTTTCATACCATGTACACTTAATTATTACAACAAATCAAGGATACTGGTATTTTATTTCCTAGATCTGAGAACACAAATGCTTGGAAAGGTTCTGTCTTGGTATCTGTTAGGTTGATACACTGTGAACATGAAATGACCATTGTGCTAGTTTATAATCTTCATCCGTAACCATCTAGATAGTCTCTCTCCCTCCACACTCTCAAATCTTCAGTATAAACTTCAAACTGCTTTTGAAATGTTTCTTCCTAAAATGCAACATAGCTCTTTTCTTCCTACCAAATTTTATTGTTTCCTCTATTCCAGAGAATGAAGAGGAAGAAAAAAGCATACTAGATCTTTCACAATCTGTCTCAAAATTCCTTTCCATCCCATTCCTCATCTAGCCCTGGCAGCATCAGACTTATTTATCTTCTAAAGTTAAACATTCACTTATCTATTTTCATGTTTTTTCTCAGCTCGTAGTGCTCCTGCCATGCCTATAAATGTCTTTTCTACTGCTCTATAACTTGAAAGTTTCATCTACAATGTCTTTGCACTTTTCCAAGAGTTCCCATAACATTGGCCAATTGTGAGACAGTGTTGGAAAGAGCTAGAATGGGACTTCAGAGTGAGATGAGTTTGAATCGAATCCCAGTTCAGCCACATACTATTTGTGTGACAGGTCTAATTATTTGAATAACATTGGCCAATTGTGAGACAGTGTTGGAAAGAGCTAGAATGGGACTTCAGAGTGAGATAAGTTTGAATCGAATCCCAGTTCAGCCACATACTATTTGTGTGACAGGTCTAACTTGGAATACTATTTGTGTGACAGGTCCATTGAAGATAGCCCTGATTTCAAGTGCTATCCCTGGATCTAACTTTGATTTTCCATGTCCTTGAGATGACATCAAGATTACCTCTGATTAGTGGTGACAGCTGAAAATTTCTGCATCCATCAGACAAGCCAAACTCTCACTGACTAGATTTGCAATCTGGTGTTTGACTCCATTATAAAATCTGAGAAAGCAGAGCTCACATTTAATATCTGCCTATTCTAATTGGCTAAGCTAAAGAAAAGACAGAGCCTTTTGATGCTTCAGTCATCTCCTCAAGAAACAGTGCCTCCCATGAGCCATGCACAGGGATAGGGACTAAGGGCCTAATGGCCATTAAAACAGGCAAGATCCTCACATTCAGGCAATTTCTCTTTTAGTGGGGAGGCAATCTAAAACAAGAAAAGGAGAAGGAAATAAAATAATTATAAATTATGAAAAGTACAGTGAAGAAACTAAATAAGAGGCTGAGCTATACTTGAAAAGGAGCACTCATAGGGGGAAGACTACATATTTTAATATGACATAAAAAATAAAAATGAGTTAGAGTACAAAAGGACCTCCAAACAAAAGGAACAGCATATGCAAAGCTTAAGTGTTTATTATTGTTGTTGCTTTTGATGATAATGCAAATGGTGTCGTTGTTTCTAAATAAATATCAGTGACTTGACAATAAGTACCATCGCTTAGTGAAAATGATGTTTTAGCAAAAACAACTACAAATATACTGTGATCCACACAGCGATCGCTTAAATGGAATTTAGATTTAACAAGTAAAGGAAGAAAAATATTTACATCAATTCCAAGAGGAATCAAAAAAATAAACAAAACACCTTAGTGAAAATGATGTTTTAGCAAAAACAACTACAAATATACTGTGATCCACACAGCGATCACTTAAATGGAATTTAGATTTAACAAGTAAAGGAAGAAAAATATTTACATCAATTCCAAGAGGAATCAAAAAAATAAACAAAACAGTGCTTATAGAGAAGGAAGTATTTGGACACAGTAACAGAAAGAGTTTGCGAATTTTGGCTCATTTTGGCCCCTGACATTGACTGACCAGCACTCTGTGCTGGATTCTTTCTTGCTGTAAATATGCAATCAATCCATATTTAGACATAAAGGAAGCATTAAGCTTTTATTTCATCTTGCACTTATGTTCTTTCTCTCTTGCCCAAATGTCAACCCCATGCTGTTACTTAGAAGTGTAACATAAGAAGTTGTTTTTGAATTGAGTTCACAGTGTGAACTACAGTTGAATATAAATGCCATCTACAGAAAAATTGATTACAGGGAAACCATTAGAGCTGTGGAGAGCTAGTTTAATGTTGCTCTGTCATTTGATTAACAGAAAATGATTTAGTATTTGCAAATTGCCTGGAAAGATAAAAAAAAATTAGAAAGTGCTTGTTTGTTGAGTTTACGATTGACAAACTTGGTACAAACATCATGACATGTTTCATATAATCCATGTGACAGTGTTTTTGTTTTTCAAGGTAATCGAAATTTTAATTTTTGCAATCCAGTTTAACCAACTTCATCAAACTAGAACTATTAACAGTGCTCATATTAAGGTGATAGCCTTCTAAAGCAGCTTTAGGAAGCTTTAAATACCAGACATAAGGCATTGACATTGGGGAAACACCCATTGACAAAGATAAGAAGGGTGACAGACTCTCAGAACTTCCCAGATAATTAGCTGAAACTCTCCCATTTTAAATCCCTTTCAAAAGTACATAAAGAACCCAAGTAAGAGCAATAACATTAAGGGAAAATCTCAAATATATGCTAATTGTATCTAAGAAGTGAATCATTTGCAAACTTCAGAATTATATTATTAGAGACATACCACTTTGAACACAATTAAAAAATTGATATGTCATAATACCACAGTAGAGAATTGCTACTCTCAGGAAAGAGAATTAATAGTTATTGAGCTTTTTAATATGTACCACTAACCAAGTGAGGAATGTTTCATATTTTATTTCATACAAGCCAAGAATCTTATAAACTAGAAGTTATTAGTCTCATTTCAAAAAAGGGAATACCAGGGCTCTTGAAAGAGACTGGACACAAATTCAAGTCTCTCTGACGTCAAAGACCAGCTCTTTCTACCTGCCAGGTAGCAAGAGAAGTAAAGCTTTCTAAATAATCTATATAATTGGCCATTGATACTAAGGTACTCATTCCTGGTAGGACTCTTCTCATTTTGTCATGCAGTGTCTTGCTTCTGCTTTGGTACATCAGGAAACAAATGCAAACATGTCAATGACAAGGTTATTGCCGAGGTCACAAACTGCTTGCAGCTCTTCTGTCTCCTAGCCTGTTGCTTTATCAATGGACTCATAGTATTCAAAACACTACTTTTTCTCTAAAGCAAACGAACGAACGAAGCAGACACAGCAATAGATGAAACTTTCAGAATCCGTCACTGCCAGTGACAGAGGAGTAAATTAACATTTTCTCTGTATTGATTGTATTATGTTGTTAACGTCAGTGCTTAGTTTTAAAGAACAGAGATAAAAGAAATGTGTCAAAAGAGTATATTAGATGTTAAAGTTATGATATCTTGTGAGAATTTTGATATTATGTCTTTTATAGCTGAGAAAAAGATTAGAAAAGACACTTTGGAATTAGTTAAGGGAGGATAGTTACAAAATCATTATTGTTGCCATCTAGTCTTTTAGAAATAAATGTATTGACAAGCATGCATTAAGTGCTTACAAAGCACAAAACTTTCAGGCCTTTAATCTCGTTGAGTTTCTGTTGTAAAGAAATACACTAGGACATGATCAATTCAATTGGCCTGTCCATCTTATAAATACATATGGATTTATGTGGGTCTGACCATGGCAATTAGCCTTGATCATAGGATTGCGTAATGAATATAATTGGCCACATTTTGTCACCTATGGATCTGCTCACAGCCCACCCAGTACATAAATGATACAACCGAGAAAATCACACAATCCTAAGACATTTTCTTTAGTCATCTTATTGCAGAGTCACTTATTCAACATATATAAATTGTATGTCTTGTCTATGCCAGGGACTATGCTACTGGTTGGTAATGCAGAGTTGAACAAGGCACATACCCTCAAGAAATTTAGAGAAAAAACATGACCAAGAATAACTTAAATCCAATGCAACGAATCTATAATAAAATATGAACTGAACCCCGTGGAAACAGAGAGAGAAACATTTCTCTCTCTACCACATCCCAACTGTGGTGTAAGTGGCTCGGTCACCAATAGTGATATTCCAGTGGGTTTGGGGAGGCAAGAGAATGTATGGTAATACAATGTGAGAAACCCTGAATTCAGCAAGATGTGACTCTCCAGTGACACATAAGATATTAAACAGCAGTTGAGTCAAAACTTCAAAAGAAATCATTTCCATTTTCATCAGTGTTATAATGAATTAAGCTGGATGCTCATTCGACCTCATGAATTCAAAAAAGATGCCAAAAACATCTTGCTGGGCAGTTTTATCTTTACCTTTGTTTTCCAGCTGAATTATTTTTAATCTCTCTAGTTTCTTAAATCTTGAAAATAATCATGTGGGCTCAGATCTTTGAGAAGGAGTATGTTGTCATGGATAAACATTAAACTAGAAACCGATAGACCAGGATTCTGATTTGACTCAGCCACTGATTAGCTGCGTAGTTTTGGACAAGTGACTCCCCAACCTGGACTCTAGTTTTCTTACATGTAAAATTCTCTAGGTGGACTAGATCCATTACTAGAAGGCTGGTTCTAAATCCTTTCTCCTTTACTTCCCACCACCTCTCTCCCCGACAACATTAATTCCAGGGAGCTAAAAGCCATGGTTTGGACTTAGACAGCCTTTGGAATGATCAATCAGTTTGTGATGATTTTCTCCTTTTCTGGGTTCCCAAAACTTTATTTATGTTAAATGGCATGCATGTTTCTCACTGTCAAGTCACAGTGGATTGGGCTAAGAGAGACTCATGTCCAAATTAAGCCAATCATTAGCTTTCTTTGGGGGAATTTTAGCCTGGACTATCTCTGAATAGAGAAGGTTTCAAACTTCGGGTATAGTGGACAGGCCTGATTTCTGCCACATGAATTGGGAATGACAAAGATGTCATCTACATCTAGATGAGCGTGGAGCAGACACTGCTGTGAGAAGTGCAACTTCTTGGCTTTGTGACAGTTTTTTGGTCTCTCCTGAGACTCTGCTACATTCTGTCATTGTTCTAGGAAATTCCCCTACATCCTTCATAATCTGTTGCTAATATTTTGCTTAAAATATTTTGAGATGGTTATGTTACTCAGAATTAAAGAATCCTAACTAATACAATGTTAAAAAGTAAAACTATTAGAAGTGAACTCTTCTATGTTGATATATATAAAAAGTTTACAACTTGAATTTGCTTAATTTGCCGAATGATTGATATCAAATGGAACACTAGATAATAAGACCCTCCATCTATTTATTTTGGTAAAGTAAACAACCTCAACAATACTGATTAATAAATCAATACTAAACATGCAGCAAGCCATTATTAATTAATAAGTTTTTCACGAAGACATTCCCAAATGACCAGAATTTGAATAGATTTGCTTACTCTGATTAGAATTAATATGATATTTTAAGTGGCACTGAAAACATTTTAGCTCCTTCTATGCTAATAATAGAAGTCTTATTTTTCCTTTTTATGTTGATGCATCATACAGTGATCATGAGCTAATTAATATTTATTTGGATCTTTGACTATCTTTTTAAAGCTCCAAGCCAACCACCAGCAAACATTGCCTGGAAGCTAACAAATTCTAAATTATGCTTGAACTGGGAGCATGTAAAAACCATGGAAAATGAGTCTGAAGTGTTGGGCTACAAGGTATTTAGTTTTTCTTTTAATCATATCAATTGCATTATTTAAGGAATGAGAAATGTGATAACCAAATAGAAAACAAAATTTATGCATATGAAAACATAGGAATCTTTTTTTAAAAATCTTTTGAAAATATTATTGCTGCTTTCAAATTTTTCATTGAAAAGGTTTTATGTTCTAAGGACCAGTAAGGTGTGATGGAGCTTGAAAAAATAAAATTTGACAGGATGCAACATTTTTCTTAAAGTTACGCCTCTCGCCATCAAAAGATGATGGTGTAAGTGGGTAGTATATGTAAGATGAAAATGAAGTCAAAAAATATACTTAAATAGAATTTCTAGATCTTAGGCTGCAGTATGATGTGATCTTTTAGCAACATAAAAGGAATCTAACAAGAGTATAGTTGAGTACCCAGAGCAAATCATTTCAATCAGTGGTAATGGACATCATCTCTCGGCAGATGCATATTCTCAGATATTTGAAATGGGTCCAAACTAAACAGTCACTTTTCACAACAAACTTCAAAGATAACAGCCTCAAGCTATTTAATTAATAGAGATAAATCTATTCTCACTCCAGAGGCATTGGCCAAAAGTCTTTTTCATAATAAGGAAAGATAAATTTAAAGAAAAGGCATCATCTGGATATTTTCATCTGAGAAGTACAGCATTTATAATGATATGCCTTATAGTGTTCCCTAACAGTTGTCTGAGCCTTAGAAAAGCAACATGTTCACGATAACTTGATTCACCATTTTATTCAGATTCTGTACCGGCAAAACAGACAGAGTAAAACCCATATTTTGGAAACAAACAATACATCAGCTGAGCTTCTGGTTCCATTTGAAGAAGACTACTTGATTGAAATAAGAACAGTCAGTGATGGTGGGGATGGAAGCAGCAGTGAGGAAATTAGGATTCCAAAAATGTCAAGTAAGTTGAGTCACCATTGCTTTTGTAGATTTTGCATCTAGACAGCTGCAGCGAGAAATCTGGATCCATGAAACTTTCCAATTCTTGTTTAAAAGTTGGGTGAAAAAAATGAAAGGTCTGTATGTCCATTTTCAATTGTGAGCAAGAAGTGATGAGCCAATTTTTCTTTAAATAATCCTTCAACATTTTAACATGCTTATATATTACTAACAGTTTTATGTTTCTTCACTGGAAAATCAAAAAAAGAAGAAAACAACTGTGTGTCACTGGTGCATAATTTCCTGATTTATTCTATTGGCACAGAAATAAGAGTTTTCCATGCTTCTTGTGGGCGTTGTGCAGCAGGGATGGCAAATGTGCAGAACATGCACATACATCCCTTTCCCCATGTTCATGGCAGACATCACTAATCAAATGCAGCAGAGATCACTAATCAAGTGTGGCAGACATCACTAACCAATTCATAAAGAACTGAGTCACAACTTTCAAATTCTTTTCAATACAATTTCCTAAGCAGGGCAACACCAGTCAGTCAGAGGTAGCATGCAATAATAAGTAATTATTTTTGCTTTAGAAGAACCACTCACTCATCTGCCTGAGACTGAGTGCAAGTCATTAGCCATGCAATGTTGGCCAATTCTAATCGGCCCTTTAGGCAGACTTCACCAATTTAGGCATTTTTCTTTTGCATTTTTACATTTGAAACACATCCTAAGACAGACAGTAATGGTACTTCCTCAAATTAAACACAATGTGAATGAAATAAGTGTAACAAAATATGTTGTCAGAAGAGAACTGATAGTATGCATTTGGGGTCTTAAAGAACTAATTTAACAAGCAACTTTACTTTTTCTGAAGATATTTTTGTTTTATTTTCATATTTTGCAGGTTTGAGTTCCAGAGGAGTTCAAGTCTTGGAACCTAGCACCTATTTCCTGTCAATTGTCATTGTGATTTTTTCCTGTTTTGCTATTCATCCACTTATAAGATGAATAAAACCATAAAGTTTTTTGAAAGCAAATCATTCTGTAAATATGCTCTCCAGCCTTCATCATAAGGCACATTCTTAATACAGACTTGTTTGGAAAGAAAAAAATGTATATTATTAAGATCTTGTAAATATCTATGGTACATTAATAAAGCAATTTTAAACACTTTTGAATTTTAAAGTCCACACATGATTACATACATTCAAAGATGCCAAATTAATCTGAGGATTTGTAACTTCTGTGTCTCTTAACTGACTTATATGGAGAGTATAAATGACTCCCCTTGAAGACAGTGATAAATACAAAATAGGTTTGCAGTTACCATAGCTAAGATATGCACTTTTACGTGCTCCGGGCAATTTACTTCAGTGTTTAAAATTTTCACCCTACTCTGAAATAAAATATAATTATTTGCTTAAAGTTGTGATTCTTTAAAAATCACAAGCTATTCCAAAGCATGGTCTGCTTTTATGTCGGAATCAAGTCGCAACAAGAAATATTTGTATTCAATAATATGTCAACATTCATGATGTTCTTCTCAACTCATTTTTTAGAAAGTTCAATAATAATAATAGCAGAAAAAAGTGCTTTATGGCAAAGAAAAATAAATAAAGTGAAAGAACATACACCTAAAATAATCTTCTAACTCTGGTATATGGTAAGCATTTTCTCATTGCAAAATTTAACCTTTTACTCCTAAGTTAAAATTGCTTGAACAAGTCTCAGGTAATTATTACAAATCGATACATCGTTTGTGGCCTTATTTTCTACAATGAAGAAATCTGTGAACAGAATCATTTGACCGGGTTTTCTACATTTTGGTCTTTTTTTTTTTTTTTCTTTGGCCAATCTTCTCTGTAGCTATAAAAATAATCCTACACTAATCAGGGTTTAGAAAGCTGTTGTAGGTCCACTCTTCTCTGGGGTGAACCTATTTCAGTCAGTGGCCTCACCGCTCGGGATTGCACAGTCTGGAGAAGGCAGTCTGGGAGAGGCCAAGGTGAATGCTGTGGCCATGGTCATTCTGTGCAGCCATCCATTTCCCTCACAAACAGCCAGAGGGCTTTGTCCCTGCTGTCAGCCTGCTCTAGCTCCCAGCCGGTAAGGTTTGGTATCCTGGGAAGCTGGGTGTGAGAAATGGTCCCCCTCTTTTTGCCTTCTTCAGATGGTGTGACCTCTTAATTATGTTGAAAATATTTGAATTATCCTCAAAACCCTCAAATTACACAATCCTCAAAACTGGATTTTGTCATTTTTATTTCTAAAGTATTTTAGAACTCCTTAAAATACCCCACGTAGTCAGCAGCAGATGGACATTCACTTTCCATAGTTCAAAACTTGCTTCCTGCCTGAATCATGTGTCAAGCACACAGGGCAAATTAATGAGCCTTATTCTCCCCAATGCCATAAGATCTGGCTGTGCTTTTATGAAGCAAAACAAATAAGCAACAACAAACACTGTTTGGCACACTCGAGTTAACAGCTGCCCATCCAAAGCACATCTGTATTGATGCAGACACCAGTGGTGATATGTGGTCTTAATGGTTTCCTTAACTTGGTTAGAGAGATTTGTGTCATTCTCCCAAAAGTGGAGATTGAGAGTTAAATGTACTCTGAGATTTTTGTGTCCACTCTTCAAGTAAATTAGATACATCATCATCTATGCATGAGTCCAAAAGTTAAGTCAGTTCATATTAATAACTCATATGTTTGCAGAGTGCTCTCTGGTTTATGACTTCCAGAGTATTAAAAGTCTGTATTATTTAATACCTCACATTTATATTTTCATCAATTTGTACTAACTTTCTCAAAATATAACTTGGCATTAATATTAAGCAGTATGTGCTTTGGCTCTATTTGAATCTTTACTCTTATTTAGACCTTGGACACATCTTTTAATAATTCCATTTCACTAATATCAAGATTATAGGACATAATATACACAAAGTATTTAGCATGGTGCATAGAACATTGCAAGTTGTCAATAAATGGAGCTGCTGTCATCTGCCGCTATGAATGAAACCCCTAATGAAATAAATTACTACATTTCTTTAAGTATCTAATATACTATGAAAACGGATTCAACCTTTGTTTATGTCAAAATGGAAACCAGCTTCAAGAAAACTGAGTTATCCACCTACTCTCGACACAAAACAGATTGGTTCCATCAGTCCATTTTAGGGAAATACTCTGCATAATGTATATACTCCTCTGACATTCAGGAAGAATTTCCAGTGGATCCCTTTATTGACCATGTAGATTAGTGTTATAAACTGTGATAATATGATAACTCACTTCCATAGTTCTTACAGGAAATGGAAAAAAATGTGATTGTGCCTGGAAACAGCCAGGGAAGAAACAAAGAATAGGATTAGGATACTTGACACAGGGAAAATATGGCACTATGAAGCTATGGGCTGTCCAGATAACATTCACTTTAAACTCAGCTCCATTTTCTCTCTTCTATCGCTCACACTGTCATCCTTCCAGTTCAGTGCCCCTTCTCTAACTATACACCAGAGGATGGCTTATAGGAGGGCATGCATGCTATCTTTAAAAGCAAATACAGGGCCGGCCTGGTGGCGCACTCGGTTGAGTGCAGTGCTTGGGAGTGCGGCGGCGCTCCCGCCGAGGGTTCGGATCCCATATAGAGACTGGTCTGCTCACTGGCTGAGCGTGGTGCGGGCGCGACACCGAGGGTTGCGATCCCGATGCCGGTCATGGTACGGGCGCAACACCGAGGGTTGCGATCCCGTTACCGGTCACGAAAAAAGACAAAAAG